AGGCACTACCCTGATTATTTGTTAAAGCCTTTTTTTTTTAATTGAAGACGGGGTTTCACCATGTTGGTCAGGCTGGTCTTTAACTCCCGACCTCCAAAGTGCTTGGATTACAGGCATGAGCCACCATGCCCGGCCTGCTAAAGCCTATTTACAAAGGCTTCTACGTCAACATTTTCACCAATTAACAAACATGATGCAACCTAAAATACTATATACCAGGCCAGTCCTGGTAGCTCATGTCTGTAATCCCAGCACTTGCAAGGATGAGGCAGGAGGACCACTTGAGTCTGTGGGTTTGAGGCTACAGTGAGCCATGATCATGCCACTGCACTCCAGCCTGGATGGCAGAGCAAGACTTTTGTCTCCAGTGTGTGTGTGTGTTGTGTGTGTACATACATAAAATTACATACACACAAATATACACATATATACTACAACCAAACACCAGTGTTTGGTTTCAGTTAGTATCACTTATTTTACTCCCATCAAAATTACAAGTAAGAGAAATAGACAAGCAAAGAATAAGCACGGTAAGAATAAGCACATTTCCACCTCATCATGAAAAACACAAGACTTAAACATTTTTTTAATCAGAGAAAAATTACTTACTAGCATGCTTATCTGCGAGCATTATAAGTGTATTGGAAATATCACGTCGTCTATAAAAGCATACTACTTTTGCTTCCACGTTGCCACTTGCAGTCTAAGAGATAAGAAAAATAAAAGTCATTTGCACTGAATATTAGAGTCAAATAATTTATAAAACAAAACTAGATACAGCACAATTATAAGATCATGCTCATTAACACTGTGCCAACCACAACTGCAGGATAACCACAGAGCTAAAAAATTCAAATAAGGATGAGCAACATTAGTTCTGCTTCCAAGCACAACTGGAATGTCAAACATATAATAACACTGGCATTAATTAAACTAAACTGATTAGACTGCTTTAATGATTAAAGCCAGATATAGTTAACACTGATTAGCTTTAAGAAACTAATACCCCCACTGCTTCAATTAACTAGTCTAAAAAAAAAAAAGTAAAAGAAACTAATCCACCCAATTTTAAAGCCACAACTGACGGAAATAATTTATTTCAGTCATTTAAACATACCTCATCCAAACACATTCCCAGAAAACACGATCTAAGTGTAAAATCACCAAGCACTCCCCTCAGTATCCCATGCTCCATGACAGTGAAGCTCTGAAGGTGGGAGATAGCCATTATGCAGAATAGACCAGGTGACCTGGAAAAGCATTCTCTAGCCCAAGAAAGTCTACAAATCTCTAAGAGACAATATTCTAAGCAGTACTTAGTTTACTTTTACATCTAAAAATATTAAAAACTCTGAGTTATAAAGAAAAAAGGCAAAAAAAACTCTTTTATGAATGCTGAAACTTTCACTTCTTTTTGGCTACAGTCTACAATGCAATCAATACTCAGTTAGGTTCTTCCAAAGTATGAAGGCTTCAAACAAAAATTCGGTTATGCTGTCATTTACTGCAGGTGGGGCCCAGGCTCCTGCTCTCTATTCTCTAGAATTCTGAGAGCTCTCAAGAAGGTCAATCAGTCATTACAAAGTTCCCTATAAAACACACAGATTATAATAAAATGCTATTGTGATTTCCATTTTCAAACAAATGTGAGAATAAATTTTTAGAAATTTCTCTGGTCTTACAGATATACTCAAATACAAAGAAGAATATATAAGTGCTACAGTAAATTTGTCAATTTTATGAAGTTCAGCAGCAGTATTTTAGATTGAGAAACAGTCCTGTAGAAACAGTGCCCCTTAAAATTGAAATCATATTAAATTCCTAACCAAAATGCTTCCATATTTCATAATACTGTGATCAAATACATTCTCCAGAAGTAATGATCCATCAATCTGCAAATTCAACAGGCCAGGATTTAACCCCAGCACTCTGGGAGGCCAAGGACATGTAAATAAAATAAAATCTATTGATGACTTCAAATATAAGCTCTGGGTCATTTTTGTCTTCTTGAAATAAGCTTGAAACTGTTGCTTTGAATTTTCAATATTGTTTTTGTCTCTTCCTGAGACATTAAAAATCCAGGCTGAGTGCACTGGCTTACACCTGTAATCACAGCACTTCGGGAGGCTGAAGTGGGCAGATCGTGAGGTCAGAAGTTCAAGACCTGCGTGGCCAACATAGTGAAACCCTGTCTCTACTAAAAATATAAAAATTAGCCAGGTGTGGTGCCATGCACCTGTAGCCCCAGCTATTCGGGAGGCTGAGGAGAGAGAATCACTTGAACCCAGGAGGCAGAGACCAAGCCATTGCATTCTAGCCTGGGTGAGAGTGAAACTCTGTCTCAAAAACAAAAAAAAAAACTCCAAAGCAACAGTTTCAAGGCGTGTTTTTTTCTGCCTCACTAGTGAGTTCCTCCAATAGGAATGCTATACAAAGCCACTTTTTTTTGCAGGGTGGGGACAGGGTCTCACTCTGGCACCCAGGCTGGAGGGCAGTGGTGCAATCTCAGCTTACTGCAACCTCCACCTCTCAGGTTCAAGCAATTCTCAAGTAGCTGCAGTTGTAGGCGCCTGCCACCATGCCTGGCTAATTTTCGTGTTTTTTTTTTAAGAGACAGGGTTTCACCATGTTGATCAGGCTGGTTTTGAACTCCTGACCTCTGGTGATCCCACCACCTTGGCCTCCCAAAGTGCTGGGATTACAGGTGTGAGCCACTTGCACCCGGCCTTACAAAGCTAATTAAATTCTTATTTAAACCTGCATAGGGAGCAGGGAGTGTAGCTCAAAATAAATATTCTCTTCTGGACCATGCATTCACTTGGCTACTAGGTAGCTTACAGTTACCATATTCCTCTTCGCCTCTACAAACACATACCCTCCAGCATTCTTCTGAAGTATGGTTACTCCTGGTTCTACAGCCCAGTGCCAGTCTGCAACTGTTAATGGCGTTTAATGAAATGAGTACGAGGTTTGAGACTAAGTGTATTATAGCAATTAAGAGTTCATTTTAGGCCGGGCCCGGTGGCTCATGCCTATAATCCCAGCACTTTGGGAGGCTGAGGTGGGGGGATCACGAGGTCAAGAGATTGAGACCACCCTGGCCAACATGGTGAAACCCTGTCTCTACTAAAAATACAAAAATTAGCTGGGCATGGTGGTGTGCGCCTGTAGTCCCAGCTACTCGGCAGGCTGAGGCAGGAGAATTGCTTGAACCCAGAAGGTGGAAGTTGCGGTGAGCCGAGATCGTGCCATTGCACTCCAGTCTGGGTAACAACAGCGAAACTCCGTCTCAAAAAAAAAAAAAGGTTCATTTTATATCTTAATCCTAATAATAAAAAAAAATTGGGGCTTACATTTTGTTTCTCAGACAGGATCTCACTAAACTGTCCAGGTGGGAGTGCAGTTATTATTTATAGGTGTAATCCTCAATTACTGACAGACTTGAACTCCTGGACACAAGTGATCCCCCCAAATAGCCAGGACTACAAGGCTAGAGGAGACAGTGCACCCAGCAGGGGCTTGTGTTTTTTTGTTTTTTTTGTTTTTTTTTTTTTTGAGATAGAGTCTTACTCTGTCACCCAGGCTAGAGTCCAGTGGCACAATCACAGCTTGCTGTAGCCTCAACCTCCTGGGCTCAAGTGACCCTCCTGCCTCAGCTTCCGGAGCAGCAGGGACCACCAGTGCACTAACATATCCAGCCTACTTTTTTTGTAGAGATGAGGTCTCACTATGTTGCCCAGTCTGTTCTCGAACTCCTAGATCCAAGGGATCCTCCCTCAGCCTCCCAAATTGCTGGGAGTACAAGCGTGAGCCAATGTACCCAACCTGGTTATTCTTTCAATCCACCAAATTTCTCTCAACCCTTCCTGTAAGCCAAGTACTGACCTGACACTGGGCGTACATGCTGCCAGGCTCATGGAAACTCTACTCCCACAAGGAGGCCTAGTCCCATGCCATCCCCTATCACACATGACTAAAAACCTTCATCAAAGTCAGGTGTGGTGGCTCATACCTATAATCCCAGGACTTTGGGAGGCAGAGGCAGGAAGATTGCTCAAGCCCAGGAGTTCAAGACCAGCCTGGGCAACATAGGGAAACAGAAGAAACAAAAACAGAAACAGAAGAAACCTAAAATAATCACTAAGCCAGTCATGGTGGCTCATGCCTATACCAGCACTTTGGGAGGTGGAGGTGGAGAATCGTTTAAACCCAAAAGTTTGAGACCAGCCTGAGCAACACAGTGGGACCCCCATCTCTACAAAAAAAAAAAAAAAAATTTAATTAGCTGGGCACAGTGCCATGGAAGCTGAGGCAGGAGTGCTTCTGGAAGCTGAGGCAGGAGGGTCACATGAACCAAGGAGGTTAAGGCTCCAGTGGGCCATGATCACACCACTGTACTTCAACCTGGGCAACACACACACACACACCCTTTACCAACTCTAAAGCATAAAAGTAAAGCCTTCCAGCCTGGCATAGTGGCTGCTCACACTTGTAACCCCAGCACTCTGGGAGGCCAAGGACAGCAGATCTCCTGAGGCGAGGAGTTCAAGACCAGCCTGGCCAACATGAAACCCTTCTCTACTAAAAATACAAAATTAGCCAGGCGTGGTGGTACATGCCTGTAATCCTAGCTACTTGGGAGGCTGAGGCAGAAGAATCGCTTGAACACGGGAGACAGAGGTTGCAGTGAGCTGAGATCACACCATTGTACTTTCAGCCTGGGTGACAGAACAAAACCCTGTCTCAAAAAAAAAAAAAAGAAAAAGAAAAACATTCCTGTCGATATGCTCAGCCCTATTTTCCTCTACCCCTTCCTTTCTGCTCCAGACTCCATTTTTCAGTGATGGAATCAGCAACAAAGTACAACCTATTGAGGGAGAAACAGAAAAAGCTTCATGAAGGAGGAAATGGATGAAGGGTCCTTAGTGGGCTAGGAAAGAAGGAAAGGAGTCCAACAGGTAAAGCCTGGAGGACTGAACATTCTAGGAAAAAAGGTGGACATGAGTAAAAAGCCACAGGTGGGAAAGAAAAGTGGGAACATATGTAAAGAAGAGCCCACAATGAATACTGATTCCTGTGTTCTCTTCTCCATTTAAATTACAGCCTCTTAGTTCCACTCTGCTAAACACATTCACTAAAATATCCTCCAGCAATAATAAATGGGCTTTTCTGAAGCTCTAAAATAATTTCAGCCAATGTCTGTATCCTTTTTTTTTTTTTTTTGAGATAGAGTTTCGCTCTTGTTGGCCAGGCTGGAGTGCAGTGCTGCGATCTGGGCTCACTGTAACCTCCACCTTCTGGTTTCAAGTGATTCTCCTGCCTCAGTCTCCCGAGTAGCTAGGATTACAGGCGTCTCCCACCAGGCCCAGTTAATTTTTGTATTTTTAGTAGAGCTGGGGTTTCACCATGTTGGCCAGGCTGGTCTCGAACTCCTGACCTTGTGATCCACTGGCCTCAGCCTCCCAAAGTGCTGGGATTACAGGCATGAGCCACTGCACCCAGCCACTCATGTCTGTTTCTATCCCAGACTTAAAAAGTATGTTATTCTGGTTGGGTGTGGTGGCTCATACTTGTTATTATCAGAACTTCGGGAGGCTCAGGTGGGTAGACGGCTTGAGCCCAGGAATTTGAGACCAGCCTGGGCAACATGGTGAAACCCTTTCTCTATTTATTTTTTTAAATTAAAAGTAAAAGTAAGAGGCCAGGCACAGTGGCTCACGCCTATAATCCCAGCACTTTGGGAGGCCAAGGCAGGCGGATCACCTGAGGTCAGGAGTTAGAGACCAGCCTGACCAACATGGGGAAACCCGTCTCTACTAATACAAAATTAGCCGGGCATGGTGGCGCATGCCTGCAGTCCCACCTACTTAGGAGGCTGAGGCAGCAAAATCGCTTGAACCTGGGAGGTGGAGGTTGCAGTGAGCCGAGATTGCACCATTGCACTCCACCCTGGGCAACAAGAGTGAAACTCCGTCTCAAGAAAAAAAGAAAGAAAGAAGAAATAAAGAATAATATTTACCAGAGTTTTTTTAATTTAACCTTTTATTCTACATCCAAATAATCATCTTTACTATACGTGAGTACACACTAGGGGAAAGGAAAAGAAAAATGTAAAATAAACAATATTGAACTGTGTTCGTCAACAGATACTTAGCTTCCCACCTAAAACTTTCTGAAACATTTAGGGGAAAAAAATTGAGGCAGAAATCTATTACTGTAATGAGAGGGAAAAAAAAAAAAATCAAAGCCCTGCTTTCTTTCTTTTCACACTCTGTCACCCAGACTGGAGCGCAATGATATAATCACAGCCTTGATCTCCCCAGGCTCAGGAGATCCTCCCACCTTAGCCTCTCAAGTAGCTGGGAATACAGGCGCAAAACACCTTGCCCAGCAAATTTTTCAATTTTTTTTTTTTTTTTTGAGACGGAGTTTTTCGCTGTTGTTACCCAGACTGGAGTGCAATGGCATGATCTCAGCTCACCGTCACCTCCACCTTCCAGGTTCAAGCAATTCTCCTGCCTCAGCCTCCCGAGTAGCTGGGACTACAGGGGTGCACCACCATGCCCAGCTAATTTTTGTATTTTTAGTAGAGACAGGGTTTCTACTAAACCCTTGTTGACCAGGATGGTCTTGATCTCTTGACATCGTGAACCACCCTCCTCGGCCTCCCAAAGTGCTGGGATTATAGGCTTGAGCCACCGCGCCCGGCCTAAATTTTTCAATTTTTATAGCAACAAGGTTTTACCATGTTGCCCAGGGTGCAGTCCTGCTTCCAAACTAAGCATATACGACTGTAAACAGGAGTTAACAATGTAAAAAAAACAGGGATCATTCTATAAAAGAAATTTTTTTATAAAAATAGTGATTGCCGCTTTTCTGAGGATCCAGCAAGATGGCAGGGGTACAGCAGAAGCAGCAGATCTCCGCAGGTTCACCTACCGCGGCATGGACCTGGACCAGCTGCTAGACATGTTCTACGAGCAGCTGATGCAACTGTACAGTGCAGAGCAGCTGCAGCACCTGTGGCAGCTGAACCCGGGCCTGCCGCGGAAGCAGCACTCGCTGCTGAAGCGCCTGCGCAAGGCCAAGGAGGAGGCACCGCCCATAGAGAAACCGGAAGTGAAGACGCACCAGCGGTACATGCTCATCCTGCCCGAGATGGTGGGCAGCATGGTGGGCGGCTACAAAGGCAAGACCTTCAACCGGGTAGAGATCAAGCCGGAGATGATCGGCCACTACCTGGGCGAGTTCTCGATCACTCACAAGACTGTGAAGCATGACCAGCTGGGCATCAGGGCCACCCACTCCTCCCACTTCAACCCCCTCACGTAGTGGCTCTGATAATAAAGGCACACAGATATCAAAAAAGAAAAAAAAAAGGCCGGGCACGGTGGCTCAATTCTGTAATCCCAGCACTTTGGGAGGCCGAGGCGGGAGGACCACGAGGTCAAGAGATCGAGACCATCTTAGCCAACATGGTGAAACCCCGTCTCTACTAAAAATACAAAAATTAGCTGGGCGTGGTGGCACACGCCTATAGTCCCAGCTACTTGGGAGGCTGAGGCAGGAGAATTGCTTGAACCCGGGAGGCGGCAGTTGCAGTGAGTCGAGATCGCGCCACTGCACTCCAGCCTGGCGCCTGGCGACGGAGCCAGACTCTGTCTCAAAAAAAAAGAGTTATTGCCACCTTATCCTAGGAATTCTGTTTAAAAAACTCAGAGGAAAGGTAATGAAACAGGTTAATATCCCTTGTCCCTTGTTTTCCTGGCTTATCAGAACAGAGTAAGAATTTTCAGTTTAGAGGTGGTTTTGTTTTGGTTTTTTGTTTGTTTGTTTTTTGAGACGGAGTTTCCCTCTTGTCACCCAGGCTGGAGTGCAACAGCGCAGTCTCGGTTCACCAAAACCTCAGCATCCCAGGTTCAAGTGATTATCCTGAGTAGCTGGGATTACAGGCATGCACCACCACACCAGACTAATTTTGTATTTTTAGTAGAGATGGGGTTTCACCATGTTGGCCAGACTGATCTGGAACTCCTGACCTCAGGTGATCTGCCAACCTTGGCCTCCCAACGTGCTGGGATTACAGGCATGAGCTACTGAGCCCAGCCTTGTTTTTTTCCTTTTTTAAAGAGACTGGGGGGGTCTTACTATGTTCCACAGGCTGGTCTCAAACCCCCAGGCTCAAGCAATCCTCCTGCCTCAGCCTCTAGAACATCTGAGACTACCATGCCTGTCTTCAAGTATTTTTAAATCATTATTTGGATTTTCCCAGCATGTTAACTTTCCCTACCTAGCCAATTTCACCTCTGATCTTCCCAGGGCCTTTATCTAGAATACTTTTGTGGCCTCTCTTTCCATGGTTCCCTCTTTCTCATCCTTTAGGCCTCAACTTCAATGTCCTTTCCCACCCTACCTAAAGGAAATGACTTGTCATTCTCTATGTCAAAGCTCTTGCCTTCTTAGAAGTTAACACAGGCCGGGCGTGGTGGCTCACGCCTGTAATCCCAGCACTTTGGGAGGCCGAGGCGGGTGGATCACGAGGTCAAGAGATCGAGACTGTCCTGGTCAATATGGTGAAACCCCATCTCTACTAAAAATACAAAAAATTAGCTGGGCATGGTGGTGTGTGCCTGTAATCCCAGCTACTCAGGAGGCTGAGGCAGGAGAATTGCCTGAACCCAGGAGGCAGAGGTTGCACTCCAGCCTGGGTAACAAGAGCGAAACTCCATCTCAAAAAAAAAAAAAGAAGTTAACACAGTTCATTACTATTACTATTTTCTTTATGCCTATCAACTTGTCTTTCCAGGTGTCTCCCTTATGAGAATGTAGACCATGTCCATCTTGTTCACAATTCTATCTCTGAGGCTAGCAAAGTGTCTGGTACATAATGAGGCAAATCCTCAATAATATTTGCTTAATGAATTATCTAAAATAAGATGTCTTCTTCACATCCATTCCAAAATAAAGACCCTATGTAAATATTTTAATTAGCCATTCAAACTACCATTTCGTGAAATTACAAAGAATCCCATCTCTCACAGCAGTCATCCCCAGCCCCAGAGACTCGCTATTATATGGATGACTCTGTTGACAAGGGGTAGGGGCAGGGAGGAGGTGAGGATGGAGGAGGAGGATGTTTTGGAAGTGAATGGCAATGAAACGATAAAGGAGTGTGAAATAATCCATGTTCACCTAACATGTGTAACCCAATCATTTAGCTACAATGTGCCTCAAGACAATGCACAATTTAGCTACCTTAAGGTGTAAGGTTATGTGAGGCTCAAAAGGGGTGACAAATGTGAATCCCAGATTAGGTTTCCAGAGCACCATGCTGTGACATTTCTAAACTTAGCACAACTGCAATTTTACTTTTACTTGTGGGACTATATGGCTGATGTCTATCTCCACTAGACATGTTTTTGATCACCCTGGCATTCCCAGTGTCTAAAAGTACCTGGCAGGTAGAAGGTCCTCAAAATTATTTGCAAAATGAATGAATCGAAGCAGTTTGTAAAGAGTAAAGCTATGTATATATAAGCACTAACATCAGACATTTCAGAAATTCATTAATTCAACAAGTATTTAGTGAATGCCAGCACTCAGAATGCATTACTGGGCAAAACAGAAAAGATCATTAAAGCTAACATTCTAGGAAGACAGGCAATGAAAGTAAACATAGTAAGTATGAATATTTGGAGGTGATAAATGATACGGGAAAAAGAGCAAGGGATGCGGGGTAGGATAGCTACAACTAAACAGTCCTCCTAAGGTGGTTGCAGGAGAAACAGCCAAGAGCCCACTGTGCTTTTTGTGCCAAATAAGCAAGGCAGAGCTCTCACCTGCTCTCAGCAAAAGTGGAAGTCAGAAAGGGCAGTGACAGTCAAAGAATATAGGGTCTCATAGGTCAACATTTCTATTGAATCTAATTAACTTTCTAATTAAACTGATATAGTAAATAGTTTGGGGTTGCCTCAATACTTATACCTTACATCAATAACATAAAAGATCAGAATCACATGCCAACATTTCCCATCCACAGTCTGATCTAAACTTGAGACCATTCTCTTCATCTGGTGGTCTCAAAGACTATATAATTTTTTTTTTTAATGCAAAGGCACCTAGCCTGTAATCCCAGTGCTTTCAGAGCCCAAGATGGGGGAATGCTTGAGGCCAGGAGTCTAGATAAGCCTGGGCAGCAATAATGAGACTCCATCTCTACAAACAATTTTAAAAATTAGGCCAGCCAAGGTGGTTCATGCCTGTAATCCCAGCACTTTGGGAGGCCAAGGCGGGTGGATCACTTGAGGTCAGGAGTTCGAGACCAGCCTGGCCAACACGGTGAAACCCTGTCTCTACCAAAAATATAAAAATTAGTCAGGCATGGTGGGGGACACCCGTAATCCCAGCTACTCAGGAGGCTGAGGCAGAAGAATCACTTGAACCCAGGAGATGGAGGTTGCAGTGACCGGAGATCATGCCATTATACTCCAGCCCAGGCAACAAAGTGAAACTCCATAGCAACAAAAAAAAAAAAATTAGCCAGGTATGGTGGTACATGCCTGTAGTCTCAGCTACTTGAGAGGCTGAGGCAGGAGGATTGCTTGAGTCCAGGAGTTCAAGGTTACAGTGAGCTATAATCCTACCACTGAACTCCAGCCTGGGTGACAGAGTGAGACTCTATCTCCCTGTCTCTGGAATAAAATAAAAATAAAAATAATGCAGAGTCCTCGGGATATTACCAAAGCAAACCAAGGTCTCAAGGCTCTTTAAACTAAGAATGTCCTAAGTAAGGCTTGGCTTCCCAGGACAAAACTGAACAAGTCACCAGATGGCATTTGAGGGGAAGGCATTACCTAGATAGACCCAAAGATTTTAACACTATGAAGTCTCATAAGCCACATAGCCCTTACAGTAGTCTGGAGAAAAACAAAAGCATCACTGTGGACAGGGCTTTTTTTTTTTAATGTTGCCCAACAGCACTGACATGGATATAGTTTTAAAAAATAAGTATGTGGACAGGGCGCAGTGACTCACACCCAGTACTTTGGGAGGCCAAGGCAGGCGGACAACCTGAGGTCAGGAGTTCAAGACCAGCCTAGCCAACATGGTAAAATCCTATCTCTACTAAATATACAAAAATTAGCCAGGTGTGGTGGTGCATGCCTGTAATCTCAGCTACTTGAGGAGAATCACTTGAACCTAGAAGGCGGAGGCTGCAGTGAGAACAGGGAGATTGAAATTCCATCTCCAAAAAAAAAAGCTACTTTATTATAACAAAACCATATTCTTTTTTTCTTTTGAGACAAGGTCTCACTCTGTTTCCCAGGCTGGAGTGCAGTGGTGCAATCACAGCTCACTGCAGCTCTGACTCCTAGGCCCAAGCAATCTTTCTCAGCCTCCCAAGTAACTGGGACTATGGGCCTGCCTATTTTTTTGGTGGAGATGGGGTTTCCCTATGTTACCCAGGCTAGTCTCAAACTCTGGACTCAAAGGATCCTCTCACCTTAGCCTCCTGAAGTTAGAATTACAGGCGTGAGCCAATGATACAATTTGGTCTAGTCCAGAATTTTACAAATTCCCTTCAGTATTATATTCCCCAGCTTCCTCCTTCTAAACCTAGAAGAGGAAAATATTAATTCACTAAAAAGGGAGACATACATATTATGACTCTTTTTTGTTTTTTAGACAGAGTCTTGCTCTGTCGGCTACTACAACCTCCGCCTACCAGGTTCAAGTGATTCTCCTGCCTCAGCCTCCCAAGTAGCTGGGACTACAGGTGCCCACCACCACCTCTGGCTAATTTTTGTAATTTTAAGAGAAATGGGGTTTCACCTATCGGCCAGGCTGGTCTCGAACTCCTGCCCTCAAGTGATCTGACTGCCTCAGCCTCCTAGAGTGTTGAGATTACAGGCATGAGCCACTGCACCTGGCCCATGATGACTCTAAATATAAAAAGGGTCTGAGTTACAGAAGTAAACTGCTCTTTCAGAGGCTCTAAGCAATTTGAAGAAATCTGCAGACTTTTAAATATTCAGTAACAGAAAAAGCAAAAGAATATTAAGAATTCGGAATCCTGCGTAACTCTCTAAAATCTCAACTTTTTTTTTTTTTGGAGTCTTGCTCTCTTGCCCAGGCTGGAGTGCAATGGCATGATCTCGGCTCACTGCAACCTCCACCTCCCAGGATCAAGCGATTCTCCTGCCTCAGCCTCCTGACTACCTAAGATTACAGGTGCATGCCACCATGCTTGACTAATTTTTTGTACTTTTTTAGTAGAAAAGGGGTTTCACCATGTTGGCCAGACTGGTCTTGAACTTCTGACCTCAAGTGATCCACCTGCCTCAGCCTCCCAAAGTGCTAGGATTATAGGCAT